AGCCACCTCCCAAGCCCACAGGCCATACAGCTAGGCAGACAGTGACTCGGGGGCAGCCAGAAGGGCACAATCACCGAGAGCTGCTTCGGTGAATGCAGCCCTAAGGCAAACGTATCACTGACTGACCAAGCCCACCAGGAAAGGCCAGGCAGGGCAGCATTCACATAGCAAAAAGCAGGCATGGGAACAAATAGGCCTCACTACGACTTCCTGTCCCAGCCCTGTGCCTGGTGGATTCCAGCACCCCCGGCCCTGGAAAGAAACCACTCACCCAAACATGTGGTGAAAGTTTGCATTCGTTTCTTCTTTTCCATTGTTTACTTTTGTGGGGTTGTTTTTGTTTCCTTTTAGGTATCTTTTGCTCTTTGTTTTTGTTCTTTTTTCTTGCTTGTCTTTTTCTATTATTTTTACCAAATTTGATTCACTCTCTTTTATACTTTGATTGGACTTTTCTCTCATCTTCCTTTTCTCAAATTCTAATTCCTTCATCTTCTGCTTCTTCTCTCCATTTTTATTATTATTACTACTAGCTTTTAAAATGTTAAGCCATTTAGTTGACTCTATACTATTATGGCTGAGTTCTTTTCTACCGTTGCAAGTGGCATGTTGTTGTTTTTAGTGGATATTTACTGGATGTCTGTATTTGGTTTGTCTTTGTGTCTACATTATTCTTGCAGATCTCTTTTCTGTTGTTAAGGGTGGTATAGTTGTAGTTATAACTGGATCTTATTGTTTGTCAATAACTGGTTTATGTTTGGCCTATTATTTTTGATTTCTTGTCTATTGTTAATGGTGACATAGTTATTCCTTTTAATTGGTTTTCAGAAAAATATTAGAAAATATGAAAAGAAAGAAAACATAAATAGATGTTATAAAAAACTTTAATGGAAAACACAAGTAGCCAAATTGACCAAGGTGGGTCAGGGATTTAGCTCAGTGGTTCCAGTGCCTGCCACGCAAGCACAAGGTCCCGAGTTCGATACCTGGTACTAAAAAAAAAAAGCAAATTGACCAAGGTGACAACAGGGTCACAAATAGAAGACAAGGTGGATCTAGTAGATCATAAAGTCAGTGATACCCTAAAAATGACAAGATACCATACAAGCTAAGTCCAACAGCCATTAGGTGACTCAAAACAACCAACCTCAGAATTATAGGAGTAAAGTAAAAATTTATAGGAATAAAGTAAAAATTAGAAGACAACTTAAAAAGTATAAAAAATGTATTCACTGAAATCATTGCAGAAAAATTTCCAAATCTAGGGAAATAATTCAATATTCAAGTATGAGAGACATATAGAACCCAAATAGCCATGACCTGAAAAGAACCTCTCCACGACACATCATAATCACAATTCCAGGAATTTCACAAAAGGAGAGAAGACTGAAAGCTGTTAGAGAAAAACAACAACTAACCTATAAAGGCAAGCTCATCCAAATAACTGCAGATTCCTCAGAACAATCCCTATAGGCCCAGAGAGCTTGGAGTGAAGTTGTTCAAGACCTACTTGTCAATGCCAACTTTTCTATCCTGCAAAATTGGCCTTCAAAATTGACAGAGAAGTAAAGACTTTCCAGAAGAAGGAAATCTTAACCACTTATAACCACTAAACCAGCATGGAGAAATGACTTAAGGCTAAACTAAATAGTGACAAGGAGTTCCACAGCATCAGATTCCAAAGGAAAGTATCTATCTAACTGGTAGAGTAGTTAAAGGAAAACAATAAAGGAATCAGCACTAGAAAAACAATGCAACTAGAGAAATCAATAAACATCTTACCATAATAGGTCTCAATTCCCCAGTCAAAGGCTCTGGCTGGCATAGTGTATACAGAGCAAAATGCAACCATATATTGCCTGTAGGAGACACACCGCATCCAAAGGAAGTACATAGACTGAAAGAGAAGGGACAGAAAGTGTCAATCCATTCAGCTGGAGCCTAAGAAAAGCAAGAATAGCTGTCTTATTTTCAGACATAGCAAACTTCAAGCTAAAAGTGATCAAAAGGGAAAAATATATCACCTGCACACTGGTAAAGGGAACTATTCAACAGGAAGAGATCACAGTGAAAAATCTCTCCCTACTAGAAAACAAAAACTACTAGACTTAAAAGTACTGTAGACACCAATGCAATCATAATGGAGGGCTTCAGTACCCCCTCTCACAATTAGAAAAATCAACCAGGCAAAAATTAACAAATATCAACATTAAGCCACACCACTGGACAAAGGGGCACAACAGATATCAACAGAGTCTCTCGCCAAACAACAATGCATGTTTTTCTCAACAGCACATTTTAAAAATGGAACATATCTTAGACCATAAAGCTTGCTTAAATAAATATTAAAAAACTGAAATAATCCCTCACATATTATCAGGTCATAGCAAAATGAAGCTAGAAATCAATATCAAAAGAAGTCACAGAAATGATGTAAACACATAGAGATTAAATAATACATTATTGAATAGTAAATGGGTCGCAAAAGAAACAAGAAATGAAAAAGTTAGGCCAGGGATTTAGCTCAGTAGTTCCACTGCCTGCCACCTGCCTCACAGGTGCAAAGACATGAGTTTGATCCCCAGTACCAAAAAAGAAGAAATGAAAATGTTTCCAGAATTAAATGACAGTGGAAGCACAATGTACCAAACCCTATGGAACACAATGAAAGGAGTTTCAGAGGGCAGTTCATACCTGTAAATGCACACATATGAAGAATAGAGCTATCCCAAATAAAGATAACGATGCACCTCAAGGTCCTACAAAGACAAGAAAAATACAAACCTGAAACCAGTAGAAGGAAAGAAATTGGAAATATCAGAATGAAAATTAATGAATTTGAGACTAAAAAACATACAAAGGATCAATGGATCGGAGTTGGTTCTGAAGGGGTGGAAGGGGGTCTGGGAATGGAGAGATAGGAAGGTAAGTGAAGGGGAGGTGAAAAGGATCAAGAGACAATGTATCTATTTGCCATTGCTCAAACAATAAATGGATTTACAATGTATCACAAATGTATACTAATAAAAAAATCGAGAAAAAACTTGAAAAGGGTGACCGGAAGTAGAAGTTGATACAAAGATTTCCAAAGAAGATGTCCCCAAGAAGAAGACATTTCAAAAGACCAAGGGAGGGCTGGGGATTTAGCTCAGTGGTTTCCTCGCCTGCTGCACAAGTGCAAGGGCTCGAGTTCGATCCCCGGTACCAAAAAAAAAAAAAAAAAAAATAGAGCAAGGGAGCAAGAGCAATAGCAGTGAAAGTAAAATGGGCTGCTAAGAAGAGCTGCCATGTAACATTCATAAGTGTTAAAATGCAAGCAAAACTTATTTTGAAAAGCTTTCCACTTGATAGGCTGTATATTTTTAGTAAATACACACTTAAGAGATGGGACCAAATAGGGAATCACGAGGAGTCCAGTGCATGATGTCTTTCTGGGTGTCTGATCTTCCTTTACTTTCAAAATACATCATCTTCATCCATCTCCTCGCCTGGGCATTATTTCTGTTTTCCGCAATGGTGCTTGATCACTGTTCCATGTCAGTCCAACACACTGCTCCAGGACATCCGAGATGGAGAGCAGCCCACTGCAGAGGCCAGGGGATGTGGTCACCCGGCTCTAGGGAGGCACTGTCTAACGGAACTTAACAGTGATGATGAAATGGAGTAAAACACAATCTCCTTTTTCTTATACCATTGACTGGCTTTCTAAATAACATCAGAGATAATGTATTCCTCCCTGGAAATATACGAGACTAAGATCTAAACCATTGTCACAGCGACCATGATGTGCTGCGGGTCACATCCAGGCCCTGTCCTCACACACATCTGCTTCACATGGTCAGTGGGGATCTCAGGTCCACCCAGGAGCGGCTCCAGCTGCTCTGGGGCCTGGGGGCTGTAGCGGATTTCAGCATGCGTGGCCCATGAGGCAGAGGGCAGGAAGGGGGAGGTTCATTGGTCAGATGTGGAGGTGCTGTTTGCTCCATCACCCACAATCTACCCACCTAAACCCAGCCACGTGGCCACAGCCCCTGGATGCCACGGTCACTGTGCGTCCAGGAGAAAATGGAAAGTGGAAAGAAAAATAGCTCTCTTGTCTATTTTTACTGTCTTTTGGGTCTAGACCACATGGTAGTTTGAATATAGGTGACCCATGCGAGCACACACTAGATGTCACCTCTCTGATGTCCTTCCCAGAAGCACTAGAAGACACACGTTTTGCCATTCCTAGGTGATTCCTAAGCAGTTCCTTTATTCTTTGAGGAGGGTTTAATTCAGATGTCACCCCAACTCCTATGAGGTGCGGTTCCTGCTGAAATCTAAGCCTGTGTTGTAGGACATACCTAGACTGCTGTGTTCGTCCATGGACATGGGTCCCTGTCTGTCTCCAAAGTGAAGTGGCTCCATGTCCCACACACAGTGTTCCGGGTTCTGTGCAGGGAATGGAAGGTGGAGAAACCACTCCATGGGTTGCCATCCTGCTCTTCCATAAACCAGGTGCCATGATGGGCAGGGTGCAGGGGCACACAAGGACAGTAGAGCAGTAGGACTCTGGGGACAGCCTGATCTTAGAAGATCTGAGCTCCAGGACCTCAGAGAGGCTCATGAGAGGGCACCAGGAAAAGCCCTTATCCAGAGAGAGGCCCCATGCTGGGGACAGACAGGGACAGGAGATGTGCTTTTGAGGATCCTCAACCCTACTTGCATCAGGTCTTTAATGAATGATCTCATGTACAGAGGTCTTCTAAAGCCTCCAGTTTCAGGGGAGAACAAACAGGAGCTTTGCGGAGTATTTGCTGATAGTTTATTGAAATGAAAATGTATATAAGGCTTCAACAATTGTCTTGCTATGTATAGGTAGAAGGAAAAAGGAAGGGAGGAAGGTTATGCTTTGCAACATGGGCGTTCCATTTCTTATCATGCTCTGTAGTCCTCGGAGCCAAAGATCTTGGGGAAAGTTAGTATGGCGCACAGTAACTGCTACTATATATTACGTTCTGGAAAACAAAAACAGGGACATCATGTAGATTTTCAACTCTGTCCTGCAAAGTCAGATATTGACAATCAAATACTTTTCCTCTTGTGATTTTCCTGTGTTTTTGGTGATTGTGTAGCACCTGAGAAAGCTCTGGAAACACGATCAGGCTGTCTTCTCGTGTATCCTATCAGTCAGGTGATATTTATTGATGCCAAAGAAGTCTTTCTGGCTCTTTGCTCCAAAAGGCACCCTTTGAACTTTTTTTCAAAGCTTCTTGGTCTTTGAAATAATTTCCCATGGAACATGCCACAGGGATAATTTGTGAAAGACCTGCCAAGGTCTATCAGCCTTTCAGTGGAACACTAGTAAACTCTCCTCCAAAGAAAGATGTGATCGGGTCGGGGATTTAGCTCAGTGCTTCCAGCACCAGGCTTGAAACCACAAGGTCATGAGTTTGATCCTCGGTACCCCCCCACCAAAAGAAGGATGTGATTTCTCTGAACTCCCCTACTGCTTTAATTAACTGTTGGAATTATTCTTTTTTTGGGTACCAGGGGTCAAACTCAGGACCTTGCACTTGCGAGGCAGGCGCCGGCACCACTGAGCTAAATCCGCGGCTGTTGGAATTATTGAAGACAAACTGAAGACCTGCTTCTGTGGTCCACAGCATGGCCCTCACATGTGGATGATAAGCCCAACCTGGGTTTGGAACAAAGGACAATCACATTGTCCTGTGGTGCAGGTGATGTCCAGAGAATTCTCGTGCTTTTTGGTGTTTTTCCAAGTTTCCTACAGCAAAATGCTTTAAAGAAAATATTAGAAGACTAAACGCTCAAAAGATAGTTATAATGAGAAAGAAACACTCATGTTTTATCGCTGCTTTTCTTTTAAATGGTCAATCAACCATCGTGTGTTCGGTACTGTAATCTACACCAGGGTTTCACTGATATGGACTGAAAGGGTCCCAGGTTTTCAAATATGGAAACTAAACAACTTGTATGCTTAGAAGCACAATTCAAAATTCTGTACGTTAGGCACACAAATTGTTACTTTAATGTTTTTTCTGGATCCTGCCGAAATGTACTGATGAACTACAGTTTGCACCATGTGTTTTATTTCAGGTGAACCATCTTTCCTTAGTTGATTGTCCCCACAGACAAGGGCTTCTTGAGAATCCCGTTTGTACTCTCCATCGAAAATGTGTCGGTGTGTGTCACTGCAGGGGTTGCATGTGAGAGCAGGTGCGTGTGCGTGTGTATGAATGCCATCAAGAGCTGACGTCTCTGAACAATTCTTTTCTCTCTTTTGCCCTTTCCACTTATCATTTACTGAAGACTGCCACAGTAAGGTAGAAATCAGCCTTGGAATGAAGGTCTGATGAAGGAAAAGTCATTACACACCATGTGATTCACAGAGCGGAATTCCGTTTTCAAAACAGAATGTGCCTCAGCTGCTTTGTCATCATTAGTGAGACTCAGGGCTGCTTATTCCAGGGAGTGATTTTAAGACGCATGAAAGACAAAACCAAAATTACCATCAGCAGTTGGACGTTGGCCAGTGTTTCATCTGACTGCATGAGAAAACACTCTTTGAACTTCTTCACAGCTTCTTTAGTGGACTTGATACTTATGAAAGGTTGGAGAAACTCTGTGTATTCAGCCACAGTCACATTAGGGCTGATCGTCTTTTCTACCGCATCCTCCAGAAGCTGGCAGCCAGCACCTGGGGAGAAACAAGAATGGGGCTCATCGCTGGAGAGGACCCTCGATGTCAGTCATTCTTCTCTGTCCCTGAGGAAAGAAAGGCCATGGGGCCTGGCCTCAAGCTCTCAATGGACGGATTAAATGTGGGCTCCAGGGTCCCATCCAGGCCTGCAGGCCTGCTCCTGCCAGCCAGCCCTGAGAAGCCAGGCCCTGTGCAGCCTTGGGTAACAAGGACACGCAAGAAAGGAGCTGCTCCGATGGGGTGGGTCATATTGAGCACTGTTTGATCTTCTTTGTTCAAAGCCATGCCACACTTCACTCTATCACTGAAAGCATGATGTAGCAAGTTGAAAGGCCCTGGAGCTATTGGGTCTGGAAGATTGCGAACTCACTCTGGGAGCTCCAACACTACTCGGCATCCAACGCCATGGGGAGCAGAGATTCGTGCACTGCAGAGGCCGCGGAATGGGGCCTGTGCAGGGAAAGGGCTGGTGCTCATGGCAGCTTGCTGACACCTGGCTCGGCAATTTTCCCTCAGACTGTGGAGGACATCACCTTCTCACCAATCTGAACCAACTTCGGGAACAGAGCCGGAGGTGGTGGCAGCAAGCTTTGGAAATGTGCAGAGCACATTGCAGTGGACTCGTGTGTGTGACCGCCCTCTGGCTGCCAGGGCTTCTCCACCTCTGTGACTGGGGGACCTCCCGAGCCTGAGTCCTCCTCCCAGTCAGCACTGAACGGAAGGAACTGGGAGCGCAGCAGGCCCCGGGAAGGGCTCAGAGCAGCCCTGTCTGCCACTGTGGGGGCCCCAAGGTATTATCCTGCCTGGTCATTTGCTGGCATCTGAACTTTCTCTCTGAAAAGTTTTCCATTTCTTTCCACATTTACGGAGACTCACGAGCACTTCTCAGGAAACTGCTTTGTATCCACTAGAGGAGATCGTTCATTCTTTCCCTTTGTCTCATTGAAATATCTGATTCCAATGTCAGATTGCAAGCCCCATCCTGGTTTCATGGTAGCCTTGCCCATGCTGGGACCCCCTGAGTGGCAATGACACGGTGCGAGCGTCTCCCTCACAGCACAAAGACCCTGAGCAGCTGCCTCTTGATGGGCCTGGAATTAATGCTGCCCTGTGCTGGAGCTCCGGGACCAGAACTCCCTCCCCAAGGACGCAGGCAGCACCCTGGTCAAGGGCCCCATTCCCTGCACAGAACTCACCTGCATAGCAGCAAAAGGGGAGGGTGGCCAGCATGAGGAGCAGCGCCAGCTTCATGTCGAGGCTGCTGTGGGCTGTTCTACCGTGTGAGACACGAGTGAGGGAATTCACTTGTAGGTGACCACTCCGAGCTCCGCTATTTATTTGCCAGGTAGCTGCCTTGTCCCTCCCAGGAGCCAGGGAACGAGTTGCAGGAGCCACCTGGCAGTGAACCAGGGACAGCTGCAGGTGCCAAGGGGAAGCGGCAGGCTCTGCTCTGTGGGCACAAAGCGGCAGGCAGGGCCCTGGAGCCAAGATAGCTGAGGCTGCAGCTATGACGCTGCTTCAGGTAAAATGGTGAGAGCAGGATTTCTGAATTACAGCAACGCTGCGTGAGCTTTGCTGTGGTCTTTGTTGTGGCCTCCTTCTGTCTCCTTGCCTTCTTCCCACTTCATCTCACTTCACACCCTCATCTCCGTCTGCTTTCCCTTTCCCTTCTTCTTCAAAGTGACAGCAGCTTCATACATAACCTGACCCTCCCATAATCAAACGAATCCAGTAAGTACAGAGTTCCTGCTTGACTTTTCGATTCTTTTTTTTCTTTTTCAGTACTGGGTATCGAACTCAGGACTTTGGCCTTGCCAGGCAAGCACGGCATCCCTGAGCTGCAACCCTGGCCCTCTACTTGACTTGAACTTGTATAAAAATGTTGAAGGGAGCAGGAATAGGAAACAATGGCGAAGCTCTGCCTGGATGGAAGCCACTCTTGTAGCTTCTCTGTCTTTGGGATGGCAGCCTTCCAGGCAGGGACCCATGAAACGTGCTCTGCACGGTGGGGTCTTTTTGGAGCAAAGGCAGCGCTAATTGGATGCGATGCCAGGAGCGGCTGTAAACCTGGCTGGTCACTGCCCGCCTCCCAGGGTGGGATTCACTTCACACCCGCTTGGGAGGGGACCCCACCGGGAGGTGATAAGCCTTCCTCTGGCATAGCTAGCAGTTGGCAGAACCAAGACACGAAGCCAGCAGCACTGGCTCCAGGGATGGCCCTCAGCCCTGCTAACCTCCTCGGCCCGACCCACAGGGATGTCCGCAGCGTGGCTCTGTGGGCCTCTGAGGCCTTGAGGGCACTGCCGCCATGTGAGACTCCAGGGAACACAGTCACCCACCGGGGGAACACGATTTAAGTCTTAATGAAAAGCCACTGATAGTCACGCACTTCAGCACTATGCTCACTGAGAAACGGGAACTCCTGACAACATAAATCTTCAGTAAGAGCAAGCATGAGCCCCAACTCCAACCAAGCAGTATGGCATGAAGCCTGCGTGCCGACATGGGCAGGTATCGCTGCTGGATGAGGGTCTGGGGGTCAGGAGGGAGGGGGTGGCGGAGGAGAGCTCATTGTCAGGAATGTGCCATTCCTGTGACCTATCCCGGATCCGTCTAGTCTCGGGACCAGGAGCCAGCTGTGGAAGCAGAGCCCAAGTCAGGTGTCACCCGCTGACTGGCTCTCCTCGGCTTCTTCCCTCAACTCCTACATTTGACTCGATTCCCCAAGCCCTGACGCATGTGGCCAAACACTTCACCCTGTGCCCGTGTGCCCGGTGATTGGGCGCCTTAGTTTGCTACACCAACGTCTCCAGGGGTTAGAGACTGGTGCCCCATGCAAGGCCCACATGTGTGACCCTGGGCTTCACCCACACCTGTGCCCCACACGTGATCCGGGCATCGGGAGAGGGACGGGGGAAATTTCCGTAAGAATTTGGTCTAGCCAAGTAGGCATCTTAGACGCGGGTAGTTTTATTTCCCCTCTCTACCCAAGAAGGCAGGGACTTTGGACCTAAGAATTCTGGAGTGTAGTAGTGACAGGGGCTTCAGCGAAATGGATCAGTCAGTGATTTAATGTTATAAAATGAGCCGCACCTGCATGAGCTTGTGCTGTTATCACTTTTATGGTTAGTGTGCTCCCCTTCTATTCCTCTTCCCACTTTCCTCCCACCCTTCACTCTTTGTTCCTCCTCCTGCTAGAGACTGCAAACAGCTCCATCTCCTGTGTAAGTGTCGTGGTATAATGAGGAGCGAGGCTCGGTGCATTATGTCAGCCACCCGAGGGACAGACGTCCCTCACCCACAGACTCCTTTTCACTGGAAAGTGTGGTGGAGAACTATTTACGCCTCAAACCCCACTGAGCTGAAGGACCTGAGCTTCACAACAATCATTAAAAGTAATTTATACTTGGGCCTGGGGCAAGAGCCTGAGCCAGGAGCATTGTTTGTGCCCAGGATTTGGTGGCCAGCTGGGGAACACATAGACCTCATCTCAGGATAGTGCTAATAATTTGAACAACTCTCATAATTATACTGGATTCAGTGCAGATGTTTGTTTTTTGAAGTTGCGTTTCAGTTAAAAACATGCGGATTTGAAAGTAAAGCAAACAATCTTGTTATATTTTACCTTCTGAAGTTCATATGAAAGTATAAAATATGGAGCATGTGTCTTGTCCAAATAACTTTTAGTCCATAGAATGCTTGGTGCCGATGAATACAAAGCAGTGAGAGGTTCGTACCTTAATTTTAGAGAGTGAGTTGCATGATGGTGGCAATGAAATGGAACACTGGGACAAGTCCAGAGTCCTTAGGACAGGTGGTAGCTGTCAAGATCAAGAAAGGCAAGGAACAGGCCCTCCTGAGACCAAGAGAGGAAAAGGTCAGATCTGTGACAGGAGCCCCAGCCAGTTTGATTAGGCATGGGGTGAGGTAAATAAGGAACAAGGCAAAAGTTGCATCAGGTATATTTTAACAGCGAATGAGAGCGCCAGAGGACAAGCCCATGCTTAGTGACACAGGAAAGCATTATTTGCTCTCTGGGTTACTCACGCCAGCTTTCGTTCTGTCATTCAGCTAGAGCATAAGAGGTCAAAACACACCTGACTTAAGAGAAGATGGAAAGTAGAAGCTTGTACATGTGCTTTCAGCCAGTGGGCAAGGCTGGAGTCTTCCACTCCAAAGCCAAGGGAAAGACCGACAAGGAAGCGGGACGCTGTCTGGCCGCCCAGGATGTGCTCGGGTGCTGCCCGGTGTTCCAGTCCTTGTGCACCTGCCCTGGCACCAGCTGGGCCAGAGAGTCACTCAGATGTTTTGCGTTCATCTACAAAACATCCCACTTCTACATGGGGCCCCACTGAAGAAGTTATGTTGTCTTTCCATCCATACTTTATCCCAACATCTGATGACAATTGTATTAGTTAGCTGTGCCATCGCTGAGACACAAAACTCAACACTCACACTGAACTCATTTCTCATTGAGAAGAATAGAGGGCGGCTTGCTGCCCATGCTTCCTTAATTTTACAAAAAACACATTCTAGGAAGCAAATTGGACGGGTTCTTAATGCGAAACATATGAAAATTGTTCTTGAAATATTAATATAGTAGAGTGTTGTGAAAATAATAATAAAAGCAATGTATTTCAGGGAAAATTTGGTGGTAAGTTTAGGGCTATGATCTGTGAGTTATTTGGGGGTGAATTTTGCAGCCACATGTGCTGCCTGTGAGTATACTGGGGAAAACAGCTTAGAGGAGAAGCTAAATCAGCTTGCGGCTCTAGGAGATCGAGTCCAGGCTTGGCTGTCTGCACGACAAAGACATCATGACAGAAGGGTGAGACCAAGGCCAGATGCTTAGTTCCTGGCAACTCAGAAGCAGAGCAGGAGAAGCGGGCCGGAGAGGAAGGGCCAGGAGTCACACACGGTACCCAGGGTCCCACCGCCATGGCCCACAGACACATCCCGGAGTGTGCTCTGCTAGTCCTCAGGGCTACCACACTCATCAAACTGACACAGTTGAGGTTTCCGTCACAGCGACCACTCTGGGTCAGCCAAGTCATTTTGGCCCAGCCCAGAAAAGTCTCCTTGGTGACTAGCATCTACACAGAGAGAAAGGGACACAAAGAGTTCGTAGTACTTGTATTTCTGGACTGACTTTTACTCTTCCAAAAGAAACTGTGCCTTGTGAAGATTTCCAAATGAACTCCAGAAACTGGAGATGTCTGGCATCCTTCAGTAGCCACGTTTCTACAGGAAATGGGTGCTGATCAACTGCCATGGCCAACACTCGGCAAAGATAAGTCAGTCAAGGATTCTGTCCAGACAGAGCTGTTGCATTTGGAGAGAAATGAAAATACGGCATAAGCAAGTGATATTTGACCTGCTCTCAGGCTGCTGGAAGACCTTAGCTGTAGACACAGGAGGAAGTTTTGGTCTTGAAAGGTCTTCACCTACCTAATGTAAAAGGGTCACTTTTCTGAACCATCTTTCCCAGGGGTTTGTGCATTTGCACAAAAACCCTACTAAAGAAGAACCTTTTAGAAAGTCAGATGAACATTAAGTTTTTTAAGATTGTGCACATCTGACATGCGTTCGGCTCCACAATATTTGGAAGAAGACATCACATATCCCCTACAACTCCTACAAGCATGGTCACACTGGCACCACCAGGGCTGGCAGAAAATCAGACTCAGGTGTGTTCTTGGAGCTCAGGTTCATCCACTGTGAGATTTCTGCCAGACTGGAAACGGGGTGTGGAGCTGCTTACCCAGGACAGAAGCCTCAGCCCAGCCTCTGTCTAAGAAACTCCGCTTGGCCGTGTGATGTCATCACTGAAGTCACGGAGTCCTTTCCTAGGCCAAGGGTCTCCCTTGCCTTGGGCCAAACCTGGTGCTGGGACTTCAAGGCTGTTTCCTCAGTGTTGACACCACAAGCACCACCCCAAAGCCCTCCACCTCAGTGCCCCAGTGGTGCCGCAGGCTACAAAAGCCTGTGTATCTGTCTGTGAGGATGTGGGGCCTGCGACTGGGTGGAGAGAACAGTGTGATTCTCCCAAACAGACTCTGAGCATGTGATCCTTAAGAGACACGTACTGGCCTGGCCTGTATGAAACTGGGTCAGAAAAGGAGAAGCTGCAGCCTCCACACTGAGTACACGCCAAACAAGACAGAATCTCCCCCTCCACACACACATACACAGTGGTTTATGTACACGTCGTGCTTTGCTTTCTCAGTGGGAAGTGCCCTCTGTCCCTTTGTCCCTTGAGAGGTCTGAGGGAAGAGGTAGGATGTATAGTGATAAATGCAGATGGATGAGAAGGTGAGGATGTACTCAGAGGCATCAGAGAGAGGGACCAGGAGTGGAGAGACCAGAGTTCCATCATGGCTGACTAGCACAGGGTTCAGATTCTGACTGTAGCACAAGTAGGAGCGAGCAGACTTCCATGTGGAGTTTTGATATGTGTGTAATTGTTTTACTTTCTTCCTTCTATTTTCTCTTCTTTTTCTTTTTCTCCGTTTATCACATACATTTATCCTCCATGATATTTTGACTTTGGAGAAGAGCCAGAACATGTGTAATGCCACATGCCAGATGGGTGTGTAGGTGGATTAGGACATATTGGAATGCTTTCACGGGCCCAGCGTTTCGTCGGATGGCACTCACCAGCAACATTCACTGTCTTTTGAATCACACCTTACAAAAACATAAAAGAGGACTTCCACCATTGCTTCAGAATGTAGGAAGAATGATGGGATGTGTTCATGGTGAGGAGAAGTATTGTAAGGAGAATTAATGGCAGTATGTTTTCTGCTATCATAAATTATTATTATTATTAGAACTGAACAATTGTTGT